GGAGTAGATACCTTTTTTACTGCAATATAGAAATGCCAGACATTCGGTGACGAAAGAGACTCCATCAAAGCTATTAAAAGGAAGAATTCTTCGGTCGAATATGACATGTTTGGAGTCTGCAGAAGTTACATATTATCGTGGCAATGATCTTCGACCAACCACGGGGATTGTTCTGAAGAATGTCGGGAAATCTATGGTGCGACTTCTAGATATCAATGACTTAAGTACACACAATCGACATGTTGATCAAATACAATTCCAGGAACCAGGTGAGTCTGTTCCAGTTTCGGTTGTTAATTCTAATACTAATGAGAGCATTCTAGATAATACAAAGTCTTTATCCAATACACTGTCCGACAGAAACAGGATGAATTTGAGAAGAAGACGCACAACTGATTACAGACACTTGGATTCCAATTTAAGCTGTGGCGGTTGTGGTGTTTGAATGAACTAGTAACTTCTTGTTGTTGTGGAATGCTTGATTTCGAATTCTAAATACAGTACATTCGTTCGTCCTTATCTCATAGTTCTTGATGCACATACTTCTAATTATCATAATTTTACATTCATTGGCGTGCACAGTGAGCCATTTAGAATCAAGCACTTTATAAATAACGGTATCACTGAAAATTTCTGTTTCGATATTTCTGGGTACATAAAGGAGACAACCATCACCATTTTTATAGCCTTGGTCACCGCAAAAGAATTCATATGAATCTATCAGCAGGTATGTGTCGTCTTGTTGATTACAGATTGGGACTAAATAAACCATTGGTGTAACACAAAGTGAGTACTTATTTTTAGGGAAACATGTTTGGCATCTGGTAGGTTGTTTGCTGGGTAATTTTAAGAACGAGAGGAAGTAGGAATATAGGCTTTAGAGATATGTTTGGTCGATCTGTGAACAATACGGCTGGTAGGAGAGAGGTATTCAGATGTTGATAAAAGCATGTTTGGTATAATATGATAGATATCGTCTCTCACAGTTAACCTATGTCCCCCGAAGAACGGATGAGGAAATTGTCAGAGAGGATAAGGAGGATCGTTTCGAAGATCCATTAGAGTCAGTGGACTGATTGGGCTAAGTCAGTGAATAATGTGCAGTTTTCTTCACTAGGTAGGTTGAGTACTGTGAGCAGACGGTTAGAGAATGTAGCACATTTCCTATGAGATATACAGTTCAGTCGCACCACTAGGATTTTCCCGTTATCTTGAGTAAAGCCTGGTGTATTACAGAGTGCAACTGACTTTTAGTTTAAGGTTAGTTAAGCACTTTAACCCAGGACAAGTTTCAGCTGTTTATGGGACATATCTTCAGACAACTAGTCTCATTGAGTCTGTTCTCGGTTTTGGAAGGAGGTGTAGAGAAAGGTATTGTAAAGTTAATGTAACACTCGTGATTGTAACTGTTACTGGTGCGCAAATTGGTCTGCATAAATTGTAGGCCGTTGGTGATTCGACGTTGTACCTAAGTTCTGTCACGGATAATTCTAATCATCTTAAATAATGGAAATGTTTGAGTAGTAAATGATTATTAATGAAGTGATTTGCCTCCAAAATACTACTAAACTGAGGAAGAATGGGACACGAAAATTTATTGTGATATTTACTTAGCCTGTTTGCCACACACCAAGTGTAGGCCAATCCACACTCTTTTAGGAGAGTGTTATTAGCAGACATTAGGCTTTCGCTGTCAGGTATGTTATGCATTATGGCATTTTGCATGCACTGAGGTCTTCTTAAACTTCTGAATATATTTGGTCAGTTACCATTTCAGTTTTGTTTACAATTTCAAGATCAGGATTTTCTGGGACTCTCATCACATCTTTGTATGGTAATAAAACGTAAATGGTTCACTTTAACTGCCCTTAGAATTATTATTAGAGAAAGTAATGGTGTTGGATTCTCGGCTGTTAGAGTTAATGGAATAGTGATCAGACTTACTGCAAGTGGTTATTGGTTGCTCACTGTGAGGATATTCATCTGAGTTAATGAATATATCTGAGAGAGAATAGTCCAGATCAACATCATTGGATTTCTGACTGAGAGCATATCCACAAACATTCTGTGAGTTGCTATGAATTGTATCTACTTGTGGGTTCGTCAAGTATTAAAGGCCAGACACACATTATAACAGGTGTCTATTTCGGATGAAGCCAAGCAAGTAGTGGATTATGTCGCGTCACTCGGATTGAAGTTAGTTGCATTTGTATCTATGAGCGGGATAGAAGGTAAAAAGAGGTCGTGTCAAAGTTGACGTTATAATGCTAGTGAGCTAGTAGGAAGATCAGAGTACGATAAAGATGGATCATTGTTCTAAAAAAGTTTAATCGTATCCAATTTAGTGGCGCATTGGCCCTTTTACATATGTGTTATGCGACAGGCGAAATTAAGTGTTTTTTAGATAATCATGGCATGTTTGTAGAGTTGTTTGTAAGTATAGTTTCTGCTATTTTGGCATTGCCTGTTCAAACTTAACGTGATATCAGGAAATAATCTGAAAGTAGGAGTAAGTTCAATATTCCTAGAGCACTAAGAGTATGCAGCCAAAAGCTGAAGTATAAAGCTGAAATAAGAATAACCAGCGTGTGGGTATAAGAATTTAGGTTATATATACCGTTTACCTGAAGTGAAAAGATTGGAAAAAGAGAAAGATAAACCATGTGAAAAATGTGATGAATCTAGTCACTAGGTACCTAATGCTTTAAGGGTACGTAAGTATATAAAATGCAGTGCCGATGAGGTAGGTGCAGAACATATTAGGACTAGATAATTTTGAGTCTAAAATCACACGGAGGTGGATGACATTACTGTTTTGGAGAAAGCTATCGTCATTTTTCATGACATTCCTTGTAGGACTCATATTTTTGTCGAAAAATAACAGTTATCTATAAATTACTAAATTAAGAGGGCTTAATAAAGGCCTTATATGGGCAAAAACAGCTCATCGAATTTCCTTTGAAAATTCTCTTAGTCAAAATCGGTCGCAGATCACCATTTTTCAAAAACATATGTGGCGGTAAACGTTACAACTAAAGGATTTCGGCTTCAATTCCTCACATATTTTTGGCTCACATTTTACACAGGAAGATTTAGAAAGCATTTAGGTAGTGAGTGTATGATTGTACTAACTCTAATTATCACATTTCTACTTTTCTTAACCTCCCGAAAGAGAGCATTTATCTCCTTTTTCGTGGGTTGATGTTAATGAGAAATGAATTTTTCGTCTTGCGAATCTGAAGTTTATTATTGATTGAGTACTTTTTAGTAGAGTTTTCATGTCTATAAGCCTTTTTTGAGTGGGGAGACTGGACAATAAAGCATTAGAAAAGCTTCTGGCACACGTTATTCCTTGTGACCTGTTAATGAAATTGCTTTATTTTACCGGAATTTGTTCACTGTTGTTAATGGCATCGAGTGTCAGTTGTTTGATCGTATGATAAATTTTTTTTAATTTGGTGTTTCATCTTGGTACCCACACCTACTGCACTATAGATTTCAGACGTATTGTACATAATGTACGTGCCACACCTCATCAGAATATATGGCGGGCTAACATCTTGTCGATTGGAGATCATGCTATCTCAACAGATTGGTCAGTCGAAGATTAATGGAATATGCTCAAAGACGCATACAATTCTGTGGCATCCTTGTTCATCCTATGTTATATTCTTAAGCTCTCTTTACCCTCCCTGGATTGGCTGCGAAACATGATGACTGTGGTTGAGCGGGAAATACGCCTGAAATTAGTTGTCAATGGGTAGCCAATCTTTCGGAGCTGAATGCCATAGCAGGAAGCCGCAACAACTGCGAAAGTCAGTTGGCATACGATAGTCGTGACTGCCCGAAACGAATGACGAGAAGTAGTGATGGAAATGCTTCTTTGTTGCTGAGCGCATATTCTGACGTCCTGGATGAGACAGATTTGACTATGGCCGAAACTTGATCAAATAATTTCATACAGAGTATTCTGACAGATTATCATTAGCAACACTTCTCATGAATATGTCACAGTGATAACAGACAGTACGCAACAGAAACTGTTCTTCAAATGCTCTTTAACCTCAAATTTGATTAGTCACCGAGTGGCAACGAATACATCCATTATTGTTGTCTCTCCTAGAGCACAACTATTGTGGAACCACTAACGATGGGATTCAATTTGTCACTTTCCAGGCTTAAATCCCTAGGGATTATAAGCGTGCTATAACAAGACGTACATTTAAACGTATCAAGGGGGAAAACGAGTCTGACTATCAACCTGTCAGCTGAACAAGCATAGTAGAAAGGTTACTTGGAAAAATAATTTATACTAAATTACCAAGTCGTGCCGAACTGTACAATCTCTTGACTCATGAGCAACATGGGTTTCAGGATAAACACTCATGCTTAACTAACTTCCTAACAGTGAAAGAGGATTGGACTGCAGCTCAAGATAACTAGCTTTTTTTCACCTAACATTCATAAATGCGAGCAAAGCATTTATTAGTGTTTCTCATTTGAGGCTTCTGCAGAAGATATCGGGCTTTTCATCAGTTGATGCAGTTCATTAGTGGATAAGAACTTCCTATGTGACTGAAGACAGAGGGTCAGATTAAATGAAACTCAATCCAAATTGAGACCGGTCAAAAGTGGTGTACACCATCTTGAGTTCCTACTCCTTCTTCTCTATCGTAATGAATTATTCAGAATGCTTAATTCATCGATAATGTTGTTTTCAGACTGTTCCAAAAGTTATGGAACACTTAGTAGTGAGGCTGATCATCCTGAACTTCATCCCCTCATTATTTCCCCATAAAATTCTTAGGTAGTAAGCTTCAATAAAAGAGATTTCTCGAAACACATGTTTTTACGAGTTGTATGTATCCTCTGCATCATTATGTGTTTATATCATTTCCTAAAGTTTCCAAAACTTTTTTTGTTTAGTTGTTTTACCTATTGAAATAGTTTACTGTTTCTATGTAGAAACAGTGCGCTACTTCAATCCTTACTCAAAATAGTTTTAAGTTTGATGTACTCAAAGGTCATAATAACATGTTTATTTATAAACTAATTTATCGAATAGCTCATTTATATGTATACTTGAATGGAAATAGGAATTTTTCGAAGTGACCAGAATATCTTGTATTATTTTCCAAGCAAACCAATAAGGGAAAATAAAGGCCAACCTTTGGGAAATTTCGGAAAACATTCATCAGTGAGATCGGTACAAATTCAGGCCATAATGCATCAAATCGCCTCCTTTTTCCAAAGCACGGGTAAATAGTGAGACTTTTCCGCAAAATCGCCCTTTTATGGGAAATGTCTCGAAATTAAGACTTTTAACATTCTTTAATATCTTCTTTTCCTTCAAAGTAAATATAAATGATAATTTTTAAGCTTGATAACATGCAAAAATGTAAACAGTTCGCAAAAATCAACGAAATAGTATACTTAATATTTTCGCTGTTATTTCTGTACTTCAAATAATTTATCTGCGCAATCAATATGAATCAGTATACATATTACCCGGAGACCAGTTTTTTTGACAATTTTCGCACAAAAATTTGTCATTTATTTAGAAAATTTAGATATGGAATCGTCACAACATCAACATACCTATCAACAAGGGGTGTTTTATTGCTGGAATTATGGAAAGCAACTTAGCACGGCAGTTAGGGATGTTGATTTCAAACGCTTACAACATAGTTGCTATAGAGTATCAGCAAAAATGCGGGATTGTTACCAACAACAAAATACCCTACTCAAAAATGTAAATAAAAGGTTTAGAATGAAAACTAATTTATATTTTGTTTCCTTAGATGATAAATTTTGTTCAGTTTATCTGTCATGTAGTGAAGGAACTTTTTCGGTAGTGACATCATTAGCTTTTGCAAGGTCTTTTCGGTGATATTAAACAGAATAAATTTCAATGGTAATGAACCTTTTGAACCAGAGAACGTAAAACGTAGCACTCTTTCTTGAATCCCAGCTCTCCAGTGTGTCGCCTTGCTTCCTCTAAGATGTTGAGTTTTTTAAAATGCAGTCAGCCACCAGAAGAAACAGAAACAGATGATGCTAAGCAACCTTCTCTGACACCGGTCTTCACTTGGAATGAGTCTGTGAGCTAGCCTCCATGCAAGAGTTTGCGGTGTAGTCCATCGCAATAGTTTCGTATGATGTCGACTACGTTCTCAGATACACCATATTGTTGAGGACGTTTCCATAATGCAATCCTGTCTACTTTGTTGAATTCTTTCTCATAGTCAAGGAAGTTAGTGTATGGTGATGATTTCCGTTCAATTGATTTACATTACTGATGCGTAGTGTCAGGATTTGGTCGACACATGGTCGAATTTTACGGAAGCCAGCCCGTTGATCTCGAAGTTGAGTGTCTACCAAATCCTTTATTTGGTCTATCAATAGGCTGTTGAAGACTTTTCCCAGAATCGGTAGTAGAGCAAACATTCTGTAGTTCTCGCACTTGCTAAAACCTCGTTTCTTTGGTATCTTGATGATTTATCCTTTTTTCAATGTTGTTATTACTTGTTCTTCCACTCAAACCTTGCTAAAAAGATTATGGAGCATCTTTGCAGTTACTGATGTTTTCGCTCTGAATGCCAACCGACCATAATCATTTTCTAGTAGCCTAGTAGTTCGTATTGAATAATCTAGATTATTTGAACATTACACACACTGATTGCAGCTTAACTCCCTGCTTCAGTTGACTGTCGATATCGAAGCTGTTGCAGGTAGCACCGTGAATTTTACCAGCAACCTATATCATGTTCCAGACATGTCCTGTTAGAGCCTTATCTTTTTAATAGTGAAATGAAGAAAAGAGTCGTGACATATAATTTCAAAAGATGAAGCATTTTAAGCGTTTCAGATTGATGCCGATCATTTTAGAGTTACTGGAAATCAACTATCTGAAAACATTCTGTCAGGTATGCGTATCAGATCACGTTTAAACCTACCGTTGGATGTTTCTACTACTCTAAATACTAGTATAGAAGTTCACAATACTCTACTTCTGTATACAACCTAAAGTGTCTTGCCCTCTCATCACCCTCGATTTCGTCTTTATTTACCTTTCGTTATAAGATATTTGGATCTTTAGTGTGTTTAAGAACTTTTCTCTGTCGGATTTAGTGCCCTTAGTTTTTAGTAAATTTGTTACAGTTATAAACGGAGCGACAAACGTTTCTAACACCGTACATTTTGCGTCAGGTTCAATTTTATATCAGGTCATAAAATCTAAAACGGCAAAATAAAGCACTAAAAATCAAATAAAACAAGATCTTTTGTTTTCGGAGACTTTTTGCAACACAATCTTCCAATGAGCAAATAGGATTTTAATCACTGTTCCAGCTTAAGTATTTTTATGAGTATTAAATTTTTATCGCTATCTGAAAGGACCAACCTCTCAGGGAGAACTTATGTGCTTGATATTTTACTTCATGTTTATGGGCTTTCATTACAAATTACGACATTTTGTAATGCTTCGAATTTCTCACCGCATTTTTGATGTCAAGATTTCTAATATGGTAATGTTTAGAACTAAATCTGTTATTTATAGTGTGGATATTACGATTGTCGCGTAGTCTTTTGTTTACACTTTCCTTGACCTCTTGTTTTTATGTATTAATTGACATTCGCCACCTTTCTGTTTATTGGTTTAGCAAATAACAGCTTACAGTCACAGTCTACTTTGCTTAATATATTTATCTTATATCTCATGAATGAATTGTAATATCTATGAAAATTATTCTGAATTTATCAAGTTCACAGTATTTGTAGATGCATTTCGCCTTGCTCTGATGTTTTCACTCTTTTCTGTAGCTTTTATTTTAATGACCGAATAGAATTCAGGTTACCAACGTGGTTCCGTTCTTTTTAATAGGGATATATGATATCAAAAAAGTCAAAACTGCTTTAAACAAGTTGATAGTTCAGTTTGTGGTAGAAAAACAGTAATCGATTATATTTTTAATATGTAGTCATGTTATTTATCTAAGATTATGTTTAGAAATTTCGATGTGTTATAGAAATCGCAAATATTGTTATCAAACCCCAAACGGTCAAAGATCTTCAAATCTCTGATACCATCAAACAATAAACTTACTTCTTAATGGCAACAAATCGTCTTCCTCGTTTAATATGGGAACAGTTGACAAGCTTCCTTCCACCAGTATATCTTTATGAAGTCCATTGTATCATTGGTGAAGATCTTGTGGATCAGACATTGGAATTAAAATCAGAAGTAATCAAACATATTTTTTCTAAACTAGATGACAGATTATTTCTATTTTAGAACTAGCTAATAATGACGAATCTTTACAACTAGTTTTTCTAAACTCTCCAACTCACCCAGTTGATGAGAAATGTTTCTCTTCCCTTAATTTTTATGTTACTGAAAAGTAAGTTGAATTATGTTTACTCAACGATCATGAATCAGATCAAAGCAAGAAAACCCAGATCAAGTAATCGATGGTTTAAATGGTAAGCTTTCTTGGAACTGTATTGTACAATTTCGATAAAACAACTTCACTTGCCTTATTTAAAACTTCATAAATCTTATGGAGATTTGTACTCTAACAAATATTGTTTTAGAAATTATTCACTTCTACAACTAATTGCCGACTCTGTCAGATACCCAGTATCTCAGATATTATTTTAGCTTATCGAGATAATGTGCTCTTCATAATACTATTTATGAATGAGTTCTCTAACTGTAAATTTCACTAAAGTATAACATTTAATGTTTCTTCTGTCATTACAGTCAACTGACTGCAGGCTTTAGTTTGATTAACAGCGAAATTCAATAAAATAATGTAGCATACAATTAAGGAACGAAATGATGCAACTGAAAATAGTTAGATAATTTAGTACCGTGAAACACGATAAAGATGAACTTTATAACGCATTTACAAGCTAAGATTGGGAGTCTTATTCTCAACCATACATATTCACCTCACTTATGAATTACAATATTAATATTTTCATAACAACTATTATAATATGCCGTTTAAAATTTTCACATTGGTACTCGTAAACCATTTAGTATGTAGAATAAACAAGATGTAATATTATGCGTTAAATGTAGGGATTCTCCCAAGCATCATATGTTTTTATGTATGGACATTTCTTATTTATGGTTTGTGCATAGAAACTCATCATTTTGAGTGATAGAAAGAGTTAGGTACTAATGTCATCTGAAATACATTACTATAGTTACCACCGGTGGCCAAACGAAACTACGATGCATTCAAAGTCAATTTACTTACGCCTGTTACCCCCCTATGGAGCATAGGCCGCTCACCAGTTTTCGCCAACCAATTCTGTCCTGGGCTTCCCTTCCCAGTTCTGTCCAATGTTTGTTCATCCCTCTCATATCTTTCTCTATTTCTCGGCGTAATGTATTCTTTGGCCTTCCTCTTTTCCTTTTGCCTTGAGGGTTCCATGTGAGGGCTTGTCTCGTGACGCAGTTAGGTGCTTTTCGTAGTGTGTGTCCTATCCACTTCCATCGCTTCTTCCTGATTTCCTCCTCCACTGGAATCTGGTTTGTTCTCTCCCACAGTACGTAGTTACTGATGGTGTCTGGCCAACCAATACGAAGCATTTTGCGTAGACAGCTGTTAATAAACACTTGTATCTTCTGAATGATGGCTTTCGTAGTTCTCCAAGTTTCCGCTCCATACAGTAGAACTGTCTTCACATTTGTATTGAAAATCCTGATTTTGGTTTTGGTTGAAAGTTGTTTGGATTTCCAGATATTTTTCAACTGTAGAAATGCAGCCCTTGCTTTGCCAATCCGTGCCCTCACATCTGCATCGGATCCACCTTTCTCGTCGATGATGCTGCCCAGATATGTAAAGGTGTTAACGTCCTCCAAGGCATCTCCATCAAGAATGATCTGGTTGGTGCATGTTGTGTTGCATCGGAGAATTTCGCTTTTTCCTTTATATATGTTCAGACCTACTGATGCTGAGGCTGTTGTTGTTGCATGTGTGATAGAAGTCAGGTCATCTGCGAAGTCCAGATCGTCCATCTGCATCCTAACTGTCCAGTTGATACCGTGCTTCCCTCCAGATGCTGACGTTTTCATAATCCAGTCGATCACCAGGAGAAAGAGAAAGTGTGGGAGTAAGCAACCTTGCCTCACACCGATCTTCACCTCGAAAGATTCTGTTAGCTGTCCATCGTGTACGATTTTGCAGTTGAATCCATCATAACAACTCCGTATGATGTTAACTATTTTCTCAGGCACACCGTAGAGTCGAAGAAGCCTCCACAGTGTTTTCTTATCCACGCTATCGAATGCTTTCTCGTAGTCGATGAAGTTGATGTAGAGTGGTGAGTTCCATTCAATTGATTGTTCCACAATGATCCGTAATGTAGCAATTTGGTCAGCACATGATCGATCCTTACGAAATCCGGTCTGTTGATCTCGAAGTTGGGCGTCTACGAAGTTGTTCATTCTGTTTACCAATACCCTGTTGAAGACTTTGCCTGGTATTGGAACAAGGGTGATGCCTCTATAGTTCTCACACTTGCTGAGATCGCCTTTCTTTGGTATTTTGATAAGGTATCCTTCTTTCCAATCTGATGGTACTTGTTCCTCATCCCAAATCTTCTCGAAGAGAATATGAAATATATTTGCAGTTGTTTCCACGCCTGCTTTTATCGCCTCTGCTGTAATGTTGTCTGGTCCTGCTGATATGCCGCTCTTGATTTGTCTGATGGCCATACTGATCGCCTCAATTGTAGGTGCGCCAATATTAATTGGGAGATCCGTGGATGCTGCTTCGATGTTGGGTGTGTTCAGTGGAGCTGTTCGATTCAAGAGTTCCTATTTCGCTGTTCTTCAGTGTTGCTGATTACTTTGCCTTCCTTACTTTTCACTCGTCGTTCTGGTTTACGATAGATTCCGGCGAGCTTCTTTGTTGTTTCGTACAATTGTCTCATGTTTCCTTCTCTTGCAGCCTTTTCCGCCGTCATTGCTAGATGTTCGACATATTTTCGTTTGTCAGCTCTGATGCTCTTCTTCACTTCCCTGTTTGCTTCTGTGTATGCAGCTTGTGCGTTAACTTTCTTTGATCTTGTTCTGCTGACATTGATTGCTGCCCTCTTGTTCCCCCTTTCTTCAATTTTTGCAAGAGTACCAACAGAGATCCATTCCTTGTGATGGTACTACTTGTGACCCAGAACTTCGTGACATGTTGAAGTGATTGCCTCCTTAATCCCTTTCCAACTGTTCTCCAATCTGGCATCCTTTCCATTGAGTAGATCCTGAAAAGCCTGGAACCTATTGGTGAGGGCTATCCTGAATTCGTTGAGCTTTACAGTATCTGGAAGAAAGGCCGTATTAAACTTGTGTGATGTTGTCTGCCCCGTTGTCCAGTGCTTCTTTAGTTTTAGTTTCATTTTGGCGATCAGCAAATGGTGATCTTATGCTATATCAGCTCTTCTCTTGGTTCTCACATCCTCCATAGTCCTTCTGAACGTTTTGTTGATACAGATATGATCAATTTGATTTTGAGTAGTGTGATCCGGTGAAATCCATGTGGCTTTGTGTATGCGCTTGTGCGGGGATATTGTGCCGCCGATGACCAGTTTGTTCAAGGCACATAGGTTTGCAAATCTCTCACCGTTTTCGTTCCTTTCTCCCAGTCCATGTCGTTCCATGATGTCTTCATATCCAGTGTTGTCCATTCCAACCTTAGCATTCAGGTCTCCCATAATAATCGTCAAATCCTTTGGTGAACATTTCTCGACGATTAACTGCAGCCTTTCGTAGAATTGATCTTTAACGTCGTCCATGAGATTCCCATCCTATCACTGCCTCTTGTGCATGTTTGGACAGCATCAGTGCAACTCCTTGTGTATGTGAAGCATTTTCCTCTTCATGACCAGAGTATAACAGCAGTTCCCCTGAAGCTAGTCTCAGTTGTCCTACCTGTGTCCAATGCGTTTCACTGATGCCGAGCACCTCCAGGTTGTATCTTTTCATTTGTGCCGCAACTCAAAATAGTCTTCCAGTCTCCCACAATGTACGAACGTTCCATGTACCTAAAAGAGTGGTTGCTCTGGTTGTCAGAAGAGGCATCGGCCTCGTGACTTCCGATGGAACTCGGCCTTCATGACGCGACGTCATAATTCTTCTTCCAACTCCCAGGGCAGAGTTAAGATGGTTTGAATTAGTTTTCTGGTTAGCGTTTTTTTGTCAAGTTTTTGACGGAATGGGGTCGCCAACCCCATGTTCAACCCTCCTCCTTTACCCGGACTTGGGACCGGCAGTAGCCCCGAAGGTTCTACTGGCGGAGTTATTCAAAGTCAACTGGTTTGTTTAATTAAGACTGATAATAAGGTATCGGCCACTGTGTTATCTAACGAATTAACAATTTGTATAGTTTACTTGAATAAATGCAAGGTCATTATTTATTCAAAATATTCTGTCGATTTTTTCCCTGTTTTAGAAAAATCTGAACTTGAATGTTGCATTCAAACAATCAGGTAATTGATTATCTGAAATTAATTTTCAATTAGTTATTTTATTACTGCTACTATATCTTATGCACACGGTAAAATCTTTCCCTGTCTTAGTATATATTGTGATTCGATAGTTCCGAAGTATTTCAATAAGAATAAATAAACAGTTTTTCTACAATAGTTGGCGGTTTAGTTCTTGATTTAAATATCAAATTTACAAATGATTGCCTGAACTTTATTAGATAGGAAACTGAAAGTTTTTAAAAAACATTATGCATTATTTACTTCTATTGTCTTGGCACTGTTAACATACAAGACGTTGCTTATAAATAATAAATTGGGATAGATTCTTATAATAAAAGCGTAAAACGTGTCAACAGTAGCTGGATTTCATAGCTGTTATGTAATTGAATTTATCAACAATGATTAGTAGCAGGATTCAGGGATATTCTAGAATGATTACACTTCGCATTCTTTCTCCATAGCACTTGTAAACTAGCCGGTACTCTTGTGGTGGCCAATTTCTACGTGTTCTTAGTCTTCGTAATTAGCTCGTTCAGACAATCGTTACTAAATGGCGTCTGACGGTTTATAAATCAGAAGGTAAACTCGAAGTGTTGAATACGTTTATTTTGGCACACCACAAATAGGGATGGCAGAAGACCACAAGCAGACCGGGCAGGCACACTAGCGAGTGAATGGGCGAATGTGCGAGTGCGAGTGTGCGAATGAATTAATAAGATTAAAATGTTCGTATATATACATAGGACAATGTCTGAGTCATCGTGATACTTGAGAGATCAATATTAACGCGAATAGGATTCATATGAGCGTAGGCGGTAAGCAATGCTCAGTCATACCAGCTCATACAAACCACACAACAATAAAAGCCAATGGTACATATAAGTTATTGTTATACAAATGGCTTGGTTAAATAAATTAATCGAAAGGGTTTAACCAAATTAAATGTAAGCGAACTCGAATATACGTGGAGGCACTACACACTAATCATTATGAAAGGTGTATCATTCCCCTTTTCATCTCACTGATTGGTGATTCACAAATTTACCATCTGAGTTTCTTTACCAGGAGCTTGAACAAGAAACCTGATCATCAAGGGATTCTAGTATAAGGGAAGAGAGTTTCGACTGTGATAATGGTTGAATAAGTGTGATTGACGTACGTCATTCTCTTTTAGTGATCGCATTGTATAGTCGTAAAATGACATTAGGAAAATCACTGTTCATTATAACCATCTGGACAGTCGTTTTCAATCACTAGTTGGTGAGAGTTAAGCAGACCACTTGTACTCATGTTAGGTTATCATATTTTCATTCTGAAAGACAAGTATTTGGTTAATAATATTTGTTTAAGCAACTAGACATTATTTGAATCAGTTGTTTGTGTTTAATTATGATATTAATTTATAATATTAGCCTACTCGTTACCCCCCATCTCTCTGTTAAACAGAGTAAGTCTTTAACAGTAGTTGACTGAATTTCTTAATCATTCTGTAATAATCTTGATAATGAAGTGAAATGAAAGAGGTTGAACATGTTTACTGTAATAAAATACAGAAAATTCATAAAATTTCATACATTCTGTTGTAAAACATTTATTTTATTTTAGAAATGCTTTACTGACAGAAATTTCATCTCTGAAAACTTATTTACAAGATATTCAGGTAAATTCAACTTTTTCTGAAAATTGAGGAGGTGATTATATATCTTTTAAAAGAATAATTGGTTCATTATATTGTATCGATGAAGATGACTCCACTTTACATAGTTTTCTTCTCTCAAATATTCATCTATTCAATTTATTTGAGCAAATTCTCGAATACTTATCAATACTTCCACAGCTGCTATCTCTTAATATTCTGTATTTTGTGTCAAAGGCAACTTTATTAAAGACGTCTGATATGAAGTATGGATCACTTTCCTTTTTTAGTCACCTCGTTTATTGTTCTATGTTACAAACAACTTCGGAGAATCCACGAAACAGATACAGCCTTTCTAGGACCTTGTTTCTGAATGGATTTAAGACTTCAGTGCTCAGTTCTGGAAACATGTGTGTCACTACTGAGCCACTTGGGTACATAAGAATGTATTAGCTACATTAATTAGTCACTTAGTAACCGATATCAGTTTATCTGTATTCAAGTGCTGACTAAACAGTATTTCTTAGGTTTATATTATGTCTAAAAGCTTCAGTGTAAATTTGATTTATACAGTTTGATCTGTATTGAGGATTAAAGTGTTTGAACTTAGTGACTAATTCGTGTAAAATAGGAATAAGTTAGAAGTTCTTGCTCTTGATTATATTGGCGTAAGTTCCGAAACCAAGATAATTGGTACTAATTTGAATGATAACGCAACTAATTTATATATGAATATATATGACAGGGTACAACACTGAGAGAAAATCTTTCTTCGTTGAACTTGCATTTTTAATAACTAAATAAGAATGTTTTAATGCACTGATAACAAGTAATGATGATCCAAGCATCAAATTCATAAGTTATTGATACCTTTCTGAGACAAGAAATGAATGAAGTCACAATTAAAAATACCTATCTTACAGAAAAGAATCTATGACATTCAAGCTCATAGACGGAAAGTGAACGTACTAAATAAATTTGGCAGATCTACATTGACGTTATTTTCTCTGGTTCATTATATTTTGCTAGTTAGTCTATATCGAGTGAAATTTAAATCGTACCGATTTCTATAATTCTATATTGTTGATTAAGTAAACATGTAGTTGTCTTTATCATCGTATAATATTGTTTGGTTTAGAATATTTGAAGTCATTGTAAATTTCTTACAGTTTTTTTTCGAGGTACATGAAATATCGTAGGATAAAAATCCGTTCTCTTTATAGCTTCTAAACCTAAAATTCTTGCATTTGATTCCTGTTGGATTTATGCGTGTTGGTAGTTAATAAGTTCCACACAGTAATGAACATCCAATGCTTCTTGATTTTCAGTGGTTATGTAATTGAAAACTGTTTTTATTTTACAGACAAACAAACTTTAAACATAAACATAGTTTGAGTAGTGTTATTTGGTTATTTTGGAAGTTTCATATATAGGTTTCGTTGGTAGACGGCAACCTGCAGCAGGATATACCTGAGACATTTAAGAAATAATTAATCCCTAGGAAATTGAAATATTCAATACTCACTTTAAGAGCCTATAACTTTTCCACTAAGCTACTCGGTCGGCAACTAACCTTCTGTAAGACATCTACTATTATTATGTATCGTATCATGCATTTTTTAACTTTCCAAACAAGTAAACAATTACTGATATTCGAATATTTCAAACTTTCTTTTTTAAATTGTAATAAGAATTCTTTTTTGGCAAACTTCAACAAACCAAAGTATGAACAGGAAAATATCAGTCATTCCCGTAAAATAGATTCAACATTATCCAAATCAAAAACAGTTCACAAAAACTCTGTAACTAACAAGAAACTGTCTTGCGGTTTAGAGTTTCTTCTTGGTCAAGATTCACTCAATGGATTACTGTATAATCCAACAATTCCTTACTCACCAAGATTTTCTTCATCACAGTCATCAGTTGATAATTCCTCTTCTCCATCCTCATCAAGAGCTATCTGCCAATTATCCACCGCAAAAGTTAATAAAATAAATAAGAATATTGATAACAAGTAAGAACAATCTCATTTGTAACATGGCAATCAATGCAATAATTGTTTAATGTATGCTCATTACATAGACGGAAACAAACAAAAGATGGAAAATCACTAAAAATTATATATTAGTATTTAACATCTTCTTTGGTTTAACTTGGGAATTCCTATCAGTAACAAACACTATTTATCTTAAGCTCATAAAGTATGCAACATTTTAGGTATTATCATGTTCAACAGATCAAGATTGTGAGAAAAAAGGTTTATTTCACAGCCTATTCATCATCACAATGAAATTGTCTTAATGAGCACACATCTATTAGACATGTTATGTTATCTTTCTAATACCTTATTGGAATCATTTCATATGTTAGCGATAATCACAGTTTTTGACAAGATTGATATATATATATTAGTTCAGGAACAAAAATCCACTTTATTTTCCTTTATTTAGGATTGTGAATGACAGAAATATGTTGACTAACACTGAAGCATCAAGTTTTAAGTTAAGTCGGTTAGTTACTGACATTAAATAGTTAGTAAAAGACTGATGATTATACTGAGTTTTATACTGGGAGATTTATTGATGCGATAAAACTAAATGAAAATAACTTTAGAATATCATTTATATTCTTCGCATTATATTCACAGGACAAGCAAATTATTTTTCAACTACATACATATATAAATATTTTTTGTATTATGTCAGTCAGTCAGTCAGATGCAACGTAGAATTTCGTACGTAAGTACATCAGTTCATGTCGCCATACCACATAAGCACAGAGATGTAATTGTCAATTCAAATCCAATAGTAGAAGAGGTAGTAAGGGTATTAGAAGTAATTGGAGAGGTTAGGATTAGAAGATATTATTCAAGAAGTATGATTCAGTGAGAAAAGTTTAGAAAGTCAAAACTAGAGGTGTTGAAGAATCCAGAAGATTAGGATTTGAGAGAACACAGAGAATAAATGCACCGGCGCCATTGCGAACGATTTTGAGCCATGTCATTCAAGGTCTCTAGCCATCGATTATTATCATCTCGCGGACCCCAACCAGGTAGTCGACAATTACCGACATGGCTCAGTCCACTCGTCAATGACTTCATGGATTTCTGCCATGTTTTGGTTTGGCCGTCCATAACTTTCTTCCAACCTACTCCTACACTACAAAACAAAGCTCTTCGAGGCAGTCGGTGGTTCGGCATACGCAAGACATGTCCCAACCACCTCAACTGATAAAGTTTCAGCACTGCGTCTATTGATCTGCCATCCTTACCTAGCACCCGTTTCCTAATAACAGCGTTGCTCACTCGGGTGTCCCACGATATACGAGCAATGCTTCGAAGACACCTATGATCGAAAACCAGTAACCTACGAATATCTTCTCTCACTGGCCATGTTTCACAGCCATAAAGTAAGACGGAGCGAACTACTGCGCAGTACACTCGTCCTTTGGTTAGCAGACGAATATCTCGCTTATTCCATAAGTGACGCAAGTTGGTCAAAGCCAATCGAGCTGTTTCTTTCCGAGCTGAGATTTCGTCAGTCACCAGGCCATCGGCACTGATGAGACTCCCTAGATAAGTGAAGCGGTCTACACGTTCGACTACTTCACTCCCTATCACTAGTTCAGGTGCCGATGCAACCCAATTTTGAAGCAACATTTTGCATTTCGAGGGGGAAATCCGCATCCCGAACATGCTTGCATTGTTGCTTAGGATAGTCAGAAGACTCTGCATTATGTCAGCGTCGTCACCAAGTAGGACTATGTCATCGGCATATTCTAAGTCAATAAGCGAGCCACCAGGTAAAAGGTCTACTCCTGAAAATTCAGATGACGATAAGGTTATATCTAGAAGCATGTCTATGATAAAATTAAACAAGAATGGAGAAAGTGGACATCCCTGACGGAGACCACTTGAAGTAAAGAATTCCGATGACAGTTCGTCATAAGCTCTCACCATCCACTGAGTCAAATGCCGCTTTCAGGTCCAGGAAGACAACTGTTGTAGGACGCCTAAATGTGTGTCTTTGTTCCAGGACCTGTCTGAGTGTGAAGATGTGGTCTATACAACCACGTCCAGATCGAAAACCAGACTGGTTTTCTCTAGTCTGCTCTTCACGAGCTTTCGTTAGGCGCCGAAGTATTATTGAGGCCAATATTTTAGATACTATATTAGTCAGACTTATTCCCCTGTAATTGTCACAAGAAGACGTTTGTCTTTTCTTATAGATTGGGACAATCAGTGATTGAGACCAATCGGATGGGATTACGTCCAGTTCCCAGATTTTGCCTAAGATTTCGTTCAACCTAGTTGCTAAAACTGGACCACCAACCTCAAATATCTCAGGGGTCAGTCTATCAGGACCTGCAGCTCGCCCTCGTTTCAGATTTCCTAACGCTTTTTCAACTTCATTAAGACTAGGGGGACTTACGTCGATTTGCCATTCAGGATGACTGGAGATCGTGGGTAAACGAAGAGTGGCTCGAGGACAGTTAAAATGATCCCTAAAGTGTTCTGCCCATCGATCCAGTCTCCTGGATTGAGAATGGATAATAGTCCCATCATTATCCGAGATAGTCTCACTTACATTAGGATTCCTAATACCAGTTTCCTTGATAAGTCGAAAAAGTTGTCTACTGTTGCCTATCGCCGCTGCCTTTTCCATCGCTTTTGCTTTCGCCACCCACCACTGTTCACGGTCGTTGCGCGGGCTTTTTGTCAGACTGCGTCTAAGCTGACTTCGTTCTTCATCATGTTCAGAGCCAGGTGGGATGAGCTTTCGGGCATCCATCAGATCGGTAGATGCTACTGAGATCTACAGCTTCATTCTAACCTCATGGTCAACCTTACTAGCAGATATCACTGCTGTTTCCACAGCCTTTTTGATATCATTCCAACCTGCCTCCGGATGGGAATCGCTTAGATGGTCGCCTAACTGTCTTTCTAGTTGTTCCTGAAATATTTTCTTAGTTTGATTATCATTAAGTAAAACCCTAAGAGGCTTTCTTACGGTGTCTTTGCTACGCCCAGTAAGCTTCAAACAAATACGAGCTGGCACTAGGGCATGATCTGAATCTAAATATGTGCCCCAGAAAGAGCGACAGTCCTCTATTGAACCCCTCCATCGGTGACTGATGGCAATTTGATCTAGTTGGGTACAACGTTGAGACGACTTTGGAGGTCGCCAGATCAACAGATGCTTTTCCTTATGCCTAAAGTTAGTTTTTGCTAGGAATAGGCGGTTATCTGAGCATACTTGCAACAGACGGTCGCCATTGTCTGTTCTCTGATCCACAACACCATAACATCCACCTAGGTGTCTTTCATTTTCACTCAGTCTACCTACTTGAGCATTGAAGTCACCAGCCATTATTACTACATCGGAGCGCCTAGCTTTTTGGAGGAGGTTCGAAAGCTTTCTGTAAAACTCATCTTTAACCTCGTCTGAACTGCAGTCAGTGGGGGCATAGGCGGATACGACGAAGAGGCAACGGCGAGTGTTCCTATCTTTACGAGTCCTTACTGTCCCGTTTAGTCGGACAGCGCACAAGCGACTATCTACTGGGATCCAGTCTAGGAGAGATTGTTCAGCTCTACGACACAATGCTATGCCTACGCCAGCAAGACCCCGGGAAGCAGCATCAGGGCTTCCAGATACACGAAGAGTAAATCAAGCTGTTTCTTTATTTTGACAAGGTGATATCAGATTAATAATTTTACTAGGATCCTGTATGCGCGTTTCCGAGACGCAGCATACATGGCACATACATGGCACGAGATTCTAAAGTCCTAGCTAATGATGCCTGTTGCCCTATTTGACACAATGTCCGTACATTGAATGCTCCAACATATAGTCTAGAACGAGGTTTCAAGAGACCAGGAATGACATTTCGTGAAATCGCATCGTTTACATTAGCGGAGCAGTCAGATAAGGGAATGTGAGTAGATTTAGTTGTGGAGAGAAGAGATGTATGTGTGGGTGTAGGAAGGATTTGATTTTGACCGATTTGGTCTCGTGCTGTTACGGATATGAGGGCGGTTATCACTTCCCGGCTTCCCACACCGTGGAAGGTTGTTTCTTGAGGAACCTGAAAAGGAAAATAGATTAGTGTTGGTCTTAGAGACCTGGGAGCGTGACTGCAGAGTCCAAGGGACAACTGCTTGAGGCTGGTCACGCACGGCCTTTATATGAAGGGTTTTTTTAAGTATTAGCTCCGCCCTTGAAAGCCCTTAGTGGGCACCCTTACCCAAGGAGACGGAACTCCGTGAGGCAAGGTGAGGTGTTACATTATTAGGGTCGACCTTTTCTAACCCTTCCTTCGTTGCGAGAAGGCAGCATCGCTGCAGATGCTGGTTGTCCGAGGGAAACACCTTACTGCTGTCACACCCCTCTGCAGTCAGCAGTACGACTTCGCCCTCAGACCTTGGGTAGCTGCTTTTAGTCTGATCGTTCTCCAATCGACCTGCCTGCATGGTAGGACCTGCAGGAACATATGTTCCAGCCAGTATGAATCGGTTGGGTCATCACGATAGGCAAGCCCAACCACCATGTCAAGGTAGCAGCTACGGTCGGGTTTTGTATTATGTACTTAAGTTTCTATATTTTTTACTATTCTTTAAACCCCAGTACCATATTCTTTGTTAATCTAAGTGTATTTTCTAACATTTTTAGTGTTAGTAAGCAACAAAAGTCATTGTAAATTGAATATCATAATCCTTATCTAAGGTTGTGAATAATTAAGAGGACTGACATTATGAAAATATCAGGCATATTGCATTTTTATACTTTATTTTTCTAGAAAAAGAGAAACAAAGCAATTACAAAATGGTAAAAATCCGAAACTCACTGAACAGGTTTGTGTACCTGTAATTTTAAATCCACTAAAACCTAACTCTGCTAAACAGTTGAAACAATCTTTCTCAGTGAATAAATTTCAAACAACTAATCAACGATTATCCGAACCCTATTCAAATAGATCATTTAGTGTGGAGAGAAATTTTCCTGATTACAATCGTTGCAATTCAGCACAACGATTTCGGCAAATGATACTGAAAGCACGTCAAGAAAGTGAAAATTGTTAGAAGTGAATCAAAACTAATTCATCCATCATTGCTGTGCTCTGCCCTTTTTGATTGATCACATCGAATTCCAGCTAATTATTGCAATTTTTAATTATGTCAATTATTTATATCAAAAACATGTTGATTTAGTGGGTGAAATAGCAGTGTAAATATTTTTCACTAAAATATAGGAAAATTTTCTTTGTTTTTTTATATTTCAGTTTCTGTCTTTTATGTGATGATTTAAGTTACTGAAATTGTTGCGCTTTTTTGTCGACAAGTTTCACTTGCACGTATATTTTCAGGAAATAAACTTTTCATTGTAACATAAATTCAGACTGTTTACTCGTAGTTAAAGAACAAACGATGAGCATTTTATTTTGTAGTTTAATAATGACTCGTCCGACAATTACCATTAGGATTTCATAGAATTTTGATCAGAACAGCTGAAATGTAACTTCACAATGATACTTTGCATATCTCCATTTTTGAGTGATCCGTATTGATCTTTAAGACCATATGAAATTGACTGAACTTGAAGGTTACATTTAAGGTGCATGATGAACTGATATTACCATCATCTAAATGTTAATTTTTAGAAATTTGATTCGAATTAACTATCTAGCATTGTAGTTGTTCGGTGTGTTAACCACAGATATAATGAAAATAAATTTTGTATTCAATAAAATTCATTTCAAAAAAGCATACAGACCGAAAAACTTTTTTAAATCATTATTCAACTTTGGTCATAAACGATATAACGTACAAAATATCGGTTGAAATTTCGATATATATTGTTCACTAAAACATGTACTACTTTAAAATTATTCAGTAACACAAGTACAAATCGACAATTTTCAGGAATTAGGCGTCATTTGCTATTAACTAACGTTTTCTGTTTCCTACAGCAAACTAGATCCTGTCAGTCGGTCCGTAATGTAAGAAATTTACTGTCATCTGGGATTTTCTTGGCTTTAGAGCTTCCCACGATTTTCAAGAAATGTAAGAACTTAAAATAAACACTGTTTGCTTCAGATTCACAACAGCTAGATTGTGATGTGAGCAGAGTTTCATGATGATCTATACGTCCTAAACCGTCTGTTTGAAAGAAAACTAATTTGATGATGCCAAACTTTATGCACATTATATAATTTTTCTGATGACTAAACAGTGTGATGGAACTCCTGTCTTAGTTTTCCATATTCTTTATCTTTGTCTATATTTCACCACCCTTAACTTAAATTCGGAAAATGGATGACCGTAACAAAAGAAGATTGTTTGGAAAAGATGATGGACAAAGTGTGTTCAATAAATACACAAGCTAGTTATTTGTTGTTTGTACAGGTAAGAAACAGATTCACTTGAAATGTTGGTAGCAGCTTTTAGAGACAACACATTTACTAAAAACGTTGTTTAAATCTATCATGCATTTCAATTAGAGCTTTGAGAACGACAGTTTTTAATCCGAATTGTAAATAACTGTCGACCTTATGTTTTGACGAAAACATCAAAAGTATGTTGTCTGGTAGACTTTCTGGTTCGACTTACTGTCCATATGCAGTAAGTTAAAAAAAATTATCTGTGGACATTATGGGAGAAATGTGAAATGATGAGATGCTATGTGGTTGGATTTCGAGGACCACTGGAAATTGTTGTGTATCTGTATATGAAGAGTTTGTGGGAGTTGCAAATGAATAATCCAACTTGCTTCCCCAGCTCTCGTGACTTTAGGTCTCGTAGCGGGTCCTATATTAAGACAAGATAATAAGTGTCCAGTGCCATGTAGTTTACCCCTAAGCGTATACAATCGATATTTTATCGTTGTTTCATTCTATTTCGTCGAAGCCTTTTTACTATGTCTTGACTTACCTTTACTCTCATAATAAGCAGGAAAATGCTTTAGACAATTGACCACTTAACATCCTTAGAAAATAATCAATAAAAAAACAATACAATATTACTGAATTAAATGACAAATGTGTAGGTATATTCGAAGTCAAATATAAGCTCTTCATTTTAGACTTTAATTTACCTTAGCAGTCAGTTGCGAATCTCATTGACTTTATGTTTGTTGCCCAATGTTATTATTAAGATGATTCCATCTCCCAAGTCAAAATGTTGTTAAAGTTACCGATTACCTGATGCAGACTTGAATAGCAATAAACATACTTATTAGTTAGCCCTTCCAATAATCTTTGTCAAAAGAAATGTTCACTGGAAAATGCAATGGAGTTCAGAGGAAAACTATATTCGTCTTCTATGAATAATATTAAATGACTCAAAAACAGCTTAACGTTTTTGTATTTTTATCGGTGAACCACCTTAATCTTAAAATATAGGGAACACAAGGTCCTCAAGTCTAATTACGCGTTGTTAAGGTACCGTAAATCAGTTAACTGAATATCCTAGAATATTAACTACTTTCAATTGAAGTTAGACAACTGTGAAATTAAAATTAAAGGCAGAGTACTGATCTCAAAAACAAATTATTGTGCAGACGTACTCCACGATAGTAAAAACGAAAACATGTAATCATAAGATGAGCACCTCATTTCTTTTTTCAAAAGTTCGAGGACAATCTCAATGCTGATGTGAAGTGAGGAATGTCTTTGTTTCATTTATAAATTCAATTTTTAATCGAAACTAAACCTACTAGCTGTTGGAATAGTTTTAATTTTTATTTCTACAGCACTTTTGACTTTCCTAATTGTGGAGCGTTGAAAATATGCATTATAATCATCGATTATCAAATCGCAATAAACATTTGTGTAGTTGATTTATTCAAATTCTTTTTCTAATGACGTAATAGCAGATTTGTTTATGAATCAAATGCAGAATTATCTTTCTTGGAAAAATGTCAGTATTTAATGTGATCTTGTTATTTGTCGACAATAAGTTTTATCTTTATGATTATATTAGAAAACTATTTTTTAAAATAACATTGGTGTTATTACCACGTGAACTTGCTAAAACACATTCTAATATTATTATATTATTATTTGACTCTAGCATACTTGAATGCATTAGCTGCTTGATGATTACGTATGACAGATGAATTTTCTAGGTTAAAGACTTTCTGATATGAAACAGATTTTCCACCGTTGACACAAAAGCAATGGTTTGTGGGATTAATAATGAAATACTGCACAGACAGAATGTAAGCAACCTTTTGAAAGACCAATATGTTGTGTGGACAATAAACAATCCTGAGACTATAACAAGAAGTGAAGAATTATTGTGGTTTTCTTAAGTAAACTGTTGAAATCATCATTAAATACGGTGCTGGATGAGAATAATCACTAATTTATTTAAAAGCAAGTATACAGTTTCAAATATCTATCATGACTTACAGCGCTTTTAATTGTTTTATTTTGAAACGATAAATTCTAAAACTAATGAAGTGTTGCTAACTGTAGACTGTATATAACAAGTAGTGCTGTTAACCTCCCATTATTACTTATCATATAGGATCGATCTATCTCTTATGATAAGATAGAATTCACTGTTTAACCTGCAGATTTTATTTTGTTCACAGGGAAAACGCCTACATTTTCTGTTATTTACAACAAGACAAGTGATTTCGAATATTGTTTTAAACCAAATCGATGTCTTTAACAATTAAAGACTTGACAACTAGTCTATTTGATAAATGCTTAGTTGACAATGAAGAAAATATAATAAGACTATATATATATATATATATATATATATATATATATATATATATGTTACCTGATCGCTTTAATTCCTTGTTTTACATGCACAGACATATATTTACCAAGGGGCTGTGACAAACCATATGGTGTATTCCTATTTCATTAATCATTGATCACTAAAATAAAACATATGCTGAAAAAAAGAAGAGGGAAAATGGAAAACATGAATCTCACCCTCTTTCCATCAAGTACCGTGGGCGTGACAGAGTCATTTTATCCCTTTTTTAAATTTCAAATTTAAAAAAGTGAAAAAAAACCCATATGGTTGTCCTACTAAATGAAGTTAACGCCTACATATCAAGTAAATTTCCACGTGCCTATCTCTTTTTTTAATTACTTCTCTCCTATCGCATACTCATAGTTAGTCTTTTCAATAAATGTTTTTCCTGAAAAAAAATTTGTTAACCGATAATGAAGATAAATTTTAAGCATAGTTTAGGTGTAGTAATTACGATTCACTTATCTAATCTAATCGAATCATTTTGCACGTACTAGTAGTCTACAGATGGAAACAAATGTGGGTTGTTGTTTGTGTGAAAGTATCTTATTGTCCCTCCCCCGCGACTTATCGACAATTAGAATTTACTGTTGAAAAGCGGAGTCATTTTACTTATCTCATTTATATCTAATGTAATATGTGTGGATCTTTGGGATGAGAGACAAAACCCTAGGATGAAAGTGGATTCTTTTCATGCTTGTTATAAGAACTACATGAAATAAAATATTATATTTTAAGGTGGAACAAATAATCACTAAATTCGGGGACATTTTCAAGATCAAAAACAGTATCTATAAGCACTGAATTTTATGATGATTCTGTCAAAAGTTCTTAATGAAATATTCCAGAATTTCTGGAGACTTTTATGACAAATTCTTTTTGTCATAACTCCATCTAAATCATTTAATAAATAAGTCAGTTGAACATTGAATGCACCAACTCTGAGAAGAATTCTAGTCATGAAATGGTGTCATTTGAAAACTAGGAGTTATTGGATACTTATTTTCACTTTAGTTTTAATTTTTTTTTAAATCGTCACAATATATTTACGTATTGTCACTGTATTACAATCGGATGAATTTCCGACTGTGTAAGGATTAAGTTAGTGAAAACAATCATTCTCTTAAATAATTCACGTTTTTGCTGGGTTTTTTTTTCAACTGATGGTGCAAATTACTTTTAAAATATTCTATTAACTAATTGTTATAAGCTTTAAATCAGTATAAATCATTTGAAATTTTGTTTTATATATAACTCGGTTAACAGAAATCAGTCGATCCTTCAAATAAATCTCAAAAGTTTCATTCGAAATAGTTGGAACTATTTACTGTTGGTGATATTTTTGACTGGATAAAATGTAACTCGCTGCCTGGATTCCAGTACTTATCACATTTCATCTGTCCTACAGGTCTCAGTTAGTTTATTTATTAACTATCAACTAGACAGGCAAACAAATGGATCATCTTGTTTGAAGAAATTCAAATCGAAATTATTTTCTTCAATTCTAACTTTCGGAAAAAAATGTTGTTAATACTGTGACTTACCTAAGATGAATAGACTATCGAAAAGATGA